GGAACTGGGCCCGAAGAACGCACTGGCTAGGGTTTTACCTATTAACTTAACCCCGTGCAATATATCCAGTGCCACGCTAGCGTGAGGACATTTCTGAGTCGCTCCTGAATAAGACTGGCCGCATGGATTTGGTCAATAACCAGACTGCGCGCGTAAGTACGTGAGGGAGGCACAGCGTTGCCATGACGCCCAGAATAAGGTCATTGTACATTTCTGATAGAATTTTGTTTCATGGAGTGATGCTGATAAAAAAAATCTCCTCATGATTGAGGCCTAATCATTAATTGCGTACTCCGTTAACTTTTGACAATGGGCTTGTAAAAGCTCTAGGTTTCCGTAGTCAATGTTTGAGAGGGTCATATTTGCACTGTCCGGGGGGGGTTTGTATCGGCTGATTTAAAATTGCATTCTGTAGTTTGACCCACGCCACAGAGAAGGAACAAAGTTAACTAAGTAGGGAAGAAGCTGCTACTAATATAAAACCCTTTTTATTTTACATTACGCAAAGAAATACGAGGAATGGAAAAGAATTAACAAATGCTCAAACGACTTGTGCAGCCAATAAGTGGAAAGAATAATTTGTGCTCGCAATTGTTTACGATAAAGGTCCCTCCACCAAAAATGAAGTCGACCGATCACAGCCTTCGGTATTGCACAAGTATGAATAAAAATTAAAGTTACTAAAGATAGCAAATAAATTCCAGTAAGAGAAGAGAACATGAAATAAGTGATAAAGATTGTGAGATCGTTAGTATCTGTAGGTGTCTGCTTAAGCAACAGGTTCCTTGTGCAGAACGACGGCCAATGAGACTCGATAAAACATTTACAAAACTGTGGAAGAAAAACAAAACGGGGGTAAGTCAAGACAACTTTCACAATCAAATATAATAACAAGTGTTTCGGTAATGGAGGAATGAATATTCTGATGGAGTGTGAAAAGACGCGTCCAGACAAATCAGGTGTGTGTGTGTATGTATGTTTTAGGTGTCTACAAATTTAAACAGTCTCGTCATGGTAGACCTGCGTCGCCATGACAGGACCAGTAAAATATGTCTGCGTACCGCTGTCAACTAGGTGACCACAGCTGAGCTGCGGCTTAAGAAAGCGAATGACATTAGAGTAACGCCGCTCAGTCGGGCTGTTGTAAAGCGTCTCGTGTTCCTTCTCTTCTCCGTCAACTGTGGCAGCTGTTATGCTTGGTATGTCGGACATTGTATTTAAATTTGAATTCGTGCTGGCGTTGTCGTCGTCTTCCACTGTCGGCAGTAGCCCCTGCTGTGACCCGACCATTAACGCTGCCTCCTCCTCCTCTTCTGGCTCAGAGTCCTGATCGGTGCACTGTTTTCCATCCGCCGGGAAAACTTCCTGTC